ACGGGAGTCGTCTTACCAATCCCCTGGGGATAGGAATCCCTTCCGGTTGATGAGGTGTAACAGCCCCATTGACCGGAAGGAATCCCTTCCGGTCAATGGTGTTGTTGTATCTCATCGGCCGGAAGGATATCCTTCCAATCAATGAGGTTAAGAGCCTAGACCGGCCGGAACTTCCGGTTACGAAGATTGGTCTCGATGGCCGGAAGGGGTTCCTTCCGGCCATCAAGATTGTATGGTCTTGATGACCGGAAGGGATTCTTTCCGGTCATTGAGACTGTACAGTCTCAATGACCGGAGGGAATCCCCCCGGCCAGTGGGAGGGAGGCGACTCCCAAACCTCCCACTTGCCAAGGAGGGTTTTGGGCGCCGACTCCCACCCAAAAAAATAAATTTTAATAAAAAACAATTGGGAAGTCGACTCCAAATCCCCCAGGGGGAATTGGAAAGACGACTCCCGTCTGACGACCCCTCGACCAAAATGGGAGTCGTCGGCAAATTTTAGGGATTCGTTTTTCCAACCCCCTTTCTTTATTCTTCAAGAATCAAATAAGTTAAACAGTCTTCAGGTATAGGAACAAATAGGTTGTTTATTTGCTTTTAAAGATAAACCACCTAAAATAAAATCAAAAAATTTATGAATAGACAAAACCATTTTACAAGACAGGAAGTCCTTTTCTTCTCAAGTGATTTTGCTTCCCACTGGTCAATTAGTACTTGTGTTCCAGCCAGCTCTTTTTTAATAGGATCTGTGATGCTGTACTGTATCTGAGGGGATCAAATCTTCCAACGGACTACAGTCTTAACATCTGGAGGGATACCTCCAGTCGTTGAGACTGTACACTGTCTCGATGACTGGAGGAATTCCTCTGGTCATCAAGACTGTACATTAGGGGGTATCAAATATAACCAAATCCACCATTATTTAATTGACTGGTTTGAAAAAATTCACCCTTTTTTGCACATGTTGGTTATTAATTTAGACCCTTTTGGGGCCCATTGATGCAAAAAAATATTTTGGGAAAAGTGACTGGTTTCTAATGGTGGATTTCCTATATTTGATACCCCCTATTGTCTTGAGGGCCGGAGGGTTCCCTCCGGCCTCAACAAAGCCCATATAATCTTCCACAACCGCAGGTACCCGGGTACCTGCCCCGGCAGACCTACCGGGTGCGGGTGCGGGTATCCAAAAAATTGTATTTTTGAGGCACCCGGGTACAAAGTGATATCTCTAAAATTTCATTATCAACAAACTCAATCTCAAACCTAACCCATCCTGTCAAACCTAACCCATAATCTTTCAAGCCTACCCCATAACTCAATCTTGCCAACGGTGGGCCGCTACACTAACTGTAGCGGTTAGTGTAGTGTAACGCAGCAGAATTTCTGTTAGTGCAAAGCGTAGCGTAGCGGAATTCCTCCACAACACCGCGAATGCTACGCTTGTGGGCTGCAAAAAAGGGCCCACTACGCTGTGCTACAGCGCTTTTTAGCGGTTTTTGGCCGCTTTTTCCGCTAAAAGTGCTGTAGCGCAGCCTAGCGTAGCAAAAAACCGCTAAAAAACCCTAACACTACACATTTTTGATGAAAAAAAAAGTGCCGCTACGCTACGCTTTTTGGGCCAAAAGCGTAGCGGCCCACCGCTGATCTTGCTCCTCCTCAAACCCAAATCCTTCAGTATTTAAGCGGCCATATTCCATCTTCTTCCTCATCTCACCCACAATCTCAATCACAATTGCTCAATCAACAGATATCAACTCACCCTTAATAAAACCAAAAATTCACAAATTCTTAACCTCAACAAATACTCAATCTCATCAACTTCATCTCAACAATTGGATCAAATTGTCTGATTCCAATTTGGTGAGAGAAAGGATTCCATCGATGAACTCTTGGGAACATTAACTAATCTCTTTTGTACTTGTGAAGTCCTGTGTCACTCTACCTCTGCTCTAACTTAACTTCTTGTCTTCTTAAGATTTATATCTTCTGTCGTGGTAATTCTCTTTTCTCTTCTATTAATTGTAAATTGTTTAATAAGTCTCAATTATATTGTTCTAACCTTTTGTCTTCATCAGTTTGTTTTTTGATCTCAGTAATAAAAGTCATCAAATTTTCTCAAAATCTTCCTCATTGACCGGCAGGAATCCCTTCTGGTCAATGAGGTTTAGCTTCTTCAATGACCAGAAGGGGTTCCTTCTGGTCAAGTGGGAGCGAATCCCAAACCCTCTCATATATGAGGGGTGGTTTGGGGAGTTGACTCCCAAAAATGGGTAAAAATAATAAAAAAGAAATTGGGTGGACGACTCCCAGAATCTGCCCTCACTTTAGAAGACAACTCCCAACAGACGTCTGCTGACAGTTGTTGGGAGTCGTTGGCAAAAAACAAGTCGTTTTTCCAAGTCCCCTCATCAATTCCCAGGCATTTTCTTATGGGTTGCATTACATTGAGTTGTATCAATTTCAGGAAAGTGAGGGGGTCATGACAATGATAATCTAGACCTTTAGAGACCTAATTAAATAAAGAGAAACTTTTGAGGTTGAATTGGCAAGACAAGTGACAAGGGGTGTTTATTGTAAGACTTTCTGTGGACCCATAATTGAGTCTTTTCTGTAGCTGGCTGTGTGAATTGTAACAAGGCCATACAATCTGGGGCCAAGTTACCTCCCCTGGTTGCTCAGCAGAGAATCTTGGATGCTAGAGCTAGTGGCAACTCTACACAAACCAATATCAAGGAATTCCTTCAAGTCAAGCCAACATTTGTCAACTGTGTCCTCAAACGAATGCTGATTATTTGGCAAGTTTGCCAAGCCCTTCCTTGATCCCAACTAGAAGGCCTTATCTTCAAGCTGCTTTCTTGTAAACCAATCTTAAAGCGGTATTTTATGATTTTCAATGGTTGGCTGACAAGTTCAAGAGGTTGTATTTGTGAGAATAAGCATCAGCTATATATTTTAGGGAAAAGAATGACTAGACCAGGATTTGAACCTGGGACCTCAGCATTAGCTAAGTCACTTTACCAGGAGTGATGCCTTTACCACTAGGCTATCCATGTTGGAGTATTCTTTCAGTCTCTCCTGTTTTCCTTTTGTTTCTTTCCTTGTGCTTCTCACCTTTCATCCGAGTTTCACTCACATGTCACAGGATCTATAGCTTACCTGGGCCAGAGTTCGTGGAAGGATTCCTTTCCTCATCCTTCCACAAACATTACACTCTGACCCAGGTATGTCCTCACTTCTCTTTTTCTTCTTCTGTTTCTTCTTTCTCTCTCTCATGTCTCATCTGATGTTTGTTTCATTTCTTATTGATGCAATCTTATCCTTCCACAAACATTACACTCTGACCCAGTTCACACCAACAATCCAGTCTTGTCCATGATGTTGATTTATATGATATGATTCCTATGTGTTAGTTCCATCAACTTGATTGTGTACATGAATTGATTCTATTCATGAAATACGATTTTTATGATGTATGATCAGATGACACAGGTTGACACAATGGATTTGTACTTCAACAGTATTCCATGCTGAAGAAATATACCTTCAACAAGTTCAATGTGGGTGGTCTGTTCACTGTCTTTTGGATACCTCAATGTGATTTGATCACTGAAAGTGGTGTACAACATCACCTAGAATTTGGATACAAAGTTCACCCTCATACACAATGTATGGGGGCGTTGATAAACGCACTCCCTCCCCCTCCCCGCACGCCCACGCCCACGCCCCTCCAAAAGGGGTGTGCGATTGAACCCGCCCCTCCTGGAGGGGCGGGTTTGATTGCACGCCCCTTGGAATCCTGTTTTTCCAAGGAAACAGGCTTCCAAGGGGCGGGCAGAAGAACCCGCCCCTCCAGGAAGGGAGGGAAAACGAACCCGCCCATCAAGAACAATATTCTGGGTTCTTGACTAGCGGGTATGATTATGTGATCAAAACATCCTATGATGTTTTGCTCACGTAATCCTATCTTCTTACTATGTAACATTTTAAATCCATCCCATCGGGAGGGTTTACTCCCGATGGGCTGGATTTGAAACCAGTTCATCGGGAGGGTTTCCTCCCGATGAGCTGGTACATAGTCCAGCTCATCGGGAGGAAACCCTCCCGATGAGCTGCTCTTCAGCCTAGTTCATCGGGAGGGTTTCCTCCCGATGAACTGGTTTCAAATCCAGCCCATTGGGAGTAATCCCTCCCGATGGGCTGGATTTAAAACCAGCTCATCGGGAGAGCTGCCTCACAGTCCAGCCAAGAACAGAGATAGCTTCCTGATGGTCTGGATTTAAATCCAGCTCATTGGGAGGGTTTCCTCCCGATGAGCTGCTACACAGTCCATCTCATCGGGAGGAAGCCCTCCCGATGGGCTGGATTCAAATCCATCCAAGAACCAAGCTATCTCTGTTCTTGGCTGGCGTGCAAACCCACCCGCCCCTCCTGGAGGGGCGGGTGCTTCTGCACGCCCCTCGGAAGGCTGTTTCCTCAAAAAAACAGGATTCCGAGGGGCGTGCGATCAAACCCTCCCCTCGGAAGACTGTTTCCTCAAAAAAACAGGATTCCGAGGGGCGTGCGATCAAACCCTCCCCTCCAGGAGGGGCGGGTTCAATCGCACGCCCCTTTTGGAGGGGTGTGGGTGTGGGCGTGCGGGGAGGGGGAGGGAGTGCGTTTATCAACGCCCAATGTATGGACAACAAAGGGGAGCCGATTGGCTTTCATTGGGGCAGCTGTGTCTTTCATCAACTCCAATTGGGAGTATGTTGTGCATCACCTGACACTCAAGAAGATTCCCTGGAAGCACCATGGACACCTTTTAGCATGTCTGATTGCTGCAATTCTGAAGAAAAATAAGCTTCAAGAAAAGATAAGTCTTGTGAGTTTGAATCACCTGTATTAAGAAATATTGATCTAGCGGCATATTTCTAAAGATTGTGATTACATAATCACCAGTTGCTTTTGCAATGAAATCACCACAGATGTCTAACTTAAATGGACCTCTCTTTGTCTATCTTGCTTGCTCTTTCCTCCCCATAAATCCATGAACTTCTTTCCTCAACCCATCATTTCTACTGAGGTTCTAAACCATTCATTGCTCAAACTTGTCTCACTTCATCGTTTCTCTAGCAGTGAAACAATTTGCTTTCATAAATCATCATCTTCCATCGTAAACTTGTGCGCTCTCCTTTCCATTCAATCTTCTGTCGACAGTAGCGCTGTTAAGCTCAAAAGTATTCCTGAGAATCTTTTGCTGAGTGCGGAAAGGGATGTGTGAGGTTGCCTCTGCCTTTCCTGGTTCACTAGACACTAAAACAAGCCCACCAATCTCAGATTGGCAGGTTTATATAGTGATAGTGGAGTGTTATCAAAAGATAACTGTCGTCTGAGCCGTGGACGGTATGTTGTGTAAGGTATTTATATGTAATTAATATGTACTGAAAGGGCCAAGGCTTCAACCAGGTGCAAGTTGGCTGAAGGGGCTCCTAAAATAAGGGTTGGGTAATTATATATGGGTTGAGAGATGTGTAATAATTGATATTTCAATGGTATGTATGTAAATAAAATATGTAAGAGTATAATAATGTTGAGCAGGTGGTTAATGTTATAGGGGAAACACTGATGGCAGTACTCTGCTGAGGGAAGTACTCTGCTGGGGAAAAGAAAAAAGATACAACTGGGGGGGAGGAGAGCCTCCTTATATAGACAAGAGTGAGTTATTTTGGCCCCAAGGGGGACACTACATGAGGCAGTGTGACTGGTTACATGAGGAATACATATGCTGAATGGTTGAATGTGATTGGGTCGGAATTGTACAGCTCTGTGAGAGGTTTGCTGCAGGCTGAATGAGTGCTTGTGATTGGTCAGGACTTGATGTGTATCCTGAAGGGTTGTGTAAGGTTGTTGATGATGTAATATGCAGTTGCTAGGCGGTGATCAGCCACTCATGCAAGCGGCTGTGCCTGCATGTATACTTTTGTATTGGTCATGCAGGACTTATGCGCCTTGCTGCAACCTGCTGCACCTGCATGTATACTTTTGTATTGGTCATGCAGGACTCAAGTATGTTGAGTGCAGTTGCTTCCTGTCAATGTATCCTGTATATGTAGCCTTGAGGGTTGTAAATGATGGGTGTCAGTGCCATTAATGATGCAGAGTGTGAGAGAGTAGAGCTATGAATAAACTGTAAGTTTCTATTAAGGTTATTTTGAGCTGTAGAGTTTGATTCTGTAGAAATATAGAGTGATAACTAAAGAGAAAATAGAGTAAAAATAGAGTAAGAAGAAGAAAATGAATAAAAATTTTATTTTAGCAATATGGTATACCATAAAGCATCCCACAGCGCTTCACTGAAGGACTGGTGTGCTTCCCCTTCTATTTGAACCTCCGCCAACCTTTCCACTTCCAAGTACCTTTCCCATTGGTGTAGGTTATTGACTCAATCTTCTCCCTCATTGACTTGACTGAATCTCAACTGACATCTTCTATCATCCAGCTACTCTTCCCTTTTTCTTCTGGTTCTTCTTCTTTGTCATGTCCTCTTTATTATTTTAGGTACTTTTCTCATTTCATTGTATTTCATTGCTATCATTACTAATCTGAAATCCAAACCTTTAGTTTGACACTTAACACCCTGTGCTGACATTTTCCATCTATACATGTTAGCACAGACCACCAACTCAGGTTCCAATAACAACGTCATGAACAAGAGAATCCTGGCTTGTGGGACCCAAGTAGCATGCACATCTGGTACTTTTGCCACAAGCTGGCCTGAATAGTAAACATGGTGTGGGATGCTATACGGTATACCATATAGCCAAAATAAATTTTTATTCATTTTCTCTTTTTTCTCTAGTTTTACTCTACTTTATCTCCATTTATTAATCTTTAGCTCTAAATTAAGTTGAAAAGCCATTAACTTCCCTGCCTGGTTCTCTTGTGGCTTGTCTGGCCTCAAAAATGGGCAAACAAAAAGAAAATCCTCAGTCAAACAAGATTGAAGCATACCTGATCGCCAAGCTGTTCTTCAAGGAAAACAATCTGGATCACAAGACTACGCCACTAAAGTTAGAGATGTCGCTCGATATCCAGGTACCTGTAGCAGGTGCGGGTACCTGCCTCAAAAATCCAATATTTTTGACACCCGCACCTGCTAGGGCCGCCAGGGCGGTTACCTGGGTACCTGAGCCAGGTACCTGCGGGTACCTGGCACATTTTTGCAGGCAAATATACCCAGAAATCTCACCCTTGAATTTCTGCATGACTTGGTAAATATAAGATTGATATTCACTAGATATATGAGTAAGAATAAAATAAAAATAAAGAAATAAAGAAAAACAAATTATTCTATCACCAATTTGAATTTTATCTTCTCTCTGATCTATCTTTAGCTTTACCCTTTTGCTTGGCCTCATTTGCCTTATTCAATTTCCATTGAGGAAGACTGTACACCATCTTTATGACTGGAGGAATTCCTCCAGTCATCAAGACTGTACACCATCTCAAAGGCCGAAGGGAACCCTCCGGCCTCAACAAAGCAACCAGATTAGTTCAGCAACACATGTAGGACACCAGCTGGTGTCCTACATGGGTTGCTGACACCTTTGTTCAGCCCAACACACCCAAAAAAGGGAGTGTTGGACCACCAATGATAAATGGAATTCTTCAGGGGAAGCATTCCCAGGGTGGGTGTAAGTACCTGCCTTTTTTTACCACAAATTTTGACACCCGCACCCGCACCCAGTACCCGTTTCCGGGTACCTGCTTTGGAAAACAGGTACCGGGTACCTGCTGACATCTCTAACTAAAGTGGTGGAAGGTAAATTTTTTTAACGCTTCAGATGCTGACCCATTCCTGAATACACAGGCTAATCAGACGGCTTACCCAACACTGGCAATCATTGCCTGAGTGTATCTGGGGTGCATTGGAAGCATGTTTGCAGTGGAAAGATTGTTCTTTGCAGAATTGTATGTAGTAGCAACCGTGGTTGCCTTCTCCCCTCAACTATGCTCCACTAGAGATGGTCTCTGGATATCTGTTGTGGATATCCGCTATCTGCTGGCAGATATCCGCCAGTGCCAGCGGATACCAGCCAGCAGATGCGGATGCGGATGTCTGATTCTGCTGAAATTGTGAGCGGATATCCGGATGCGCCGGGGCCATCTCTATGCTCCACTCTTTCAGCAGCCTAATGTGGCTGTGAGAGGAATTACCTCTAACAGGGGTGGAAATAAGGCACTGATTCCCCATAAACCATATATTTCTGATGTACTTTTTTGTCTTTTTGACAACTCATCACATTATGCTCACTTCCCATTTCAGCTTCATCTACTTCTACATATCTTTACATTTAATGATTATTGCATTATCACTTCCTATCCTGTGCCCCTCAGAAAGTGTAGTCTGCCATAAGCAAATGCTGTTACAAGCATTGGATAGTGTAGCTACGGCGTGTCACTACTAATGCGGGCACTAGCAAGCCCAAACCTATTACGCTACAGCCATGTTGCGCGTTATCTGCAATATAGCTACCTATTTTTGGTTGCTATACCACATTCAGAAACCCAAAATCAAAAATTGTCACCTGGTGTAACCATTTTACATATTTCATATGCAATCTGTATCAGTCTCCAAGCTGGAAGACTTGACGGTGACTCTGGATCAAGATTCAAGGAGAATCACAGGCTAAATCTGGTGTTTGGGTGCCTGTTTTTTTTGGGGTACCTCTGGCACCTTCCCGGTGTTGCCACACTGCCAGGTCCTTGTTTTTTCAAAAAAAAGAGAAAAAAAAAGTGGTGGTACCTGGGTACTTGCTGTCTGCATTCACCCCTTAAGTGGGGTGATGGCCTGCCTCAACCATCAAGCTAGGTGTGGTTCCAGATCAATGGCTGGTACATACTGGCGATTGAGCTGGGTCTTGTCAACGGTGGGCCAGCTACGCTACAGTAGCATTAGCATAGCAAAAAACCACTATAATTTAGCGTAGCGTTAGTGCTTTTCTCATTTTCTGCGCTAACGCTACGCGCATGGGGAAAAAACTTGCGCTAACGTTTAGCGTAGCGTTAGCGCGATTCCCCCCATCTGCGCTAACGCTACGCGCGCAAGGCGCAAAAAACCGCCCGCTACGCTGCGCTACAGCAGTTTTTAGCGGTTTTTAGGCATTTTTTGCCGCTAAAAACGCTGTAGCGTAGCGTAACACAGCGTAGCAGCGCCAGAGGCGCGCTAACACTACACCAAAAATTGGCAAGTGTTAGCGCCGCTACAAATTAGCATAGTGCAGCAGCCGTAGCGGTGCGCTAACACTACACAAAAAAAGCAATGGTTGGCGCCGCTACGCTAACGCTACATGGGCCCGTAGCGGCCCACCGCTGGTCTTGTCCCAGATGGCTGGCTGGTATATACCAGCCATCAATCTGGGACAATCTCTTCTTCTTCTGTTCTTCTCTCTTTGTTTTCTGCTTGCCACCTGTTTTACTAATCTTCTCAGTATGTCACACATGTCTTACGCCCTTGTAGGCTCTAGGTCAGCTGTTGGTTTGTGGAAGCTATCTTTTCCTCATCCTTCCACAAACTCTCTGTCTGGCTGAGGTGAGTCTGTTCTTTCTTTCCCTCTCTGTTTTTCCTTTTCATTTTTTTATCTTAGTAGTGCAATGAATGTAAGAGTCGTGTTGTGACTATTCACTGGCATCCTTATTTTTAACTTCGAGACATGCACGAGCCTGGAGAGAACTTCTAGAACCTGAGTATATTTAGATTTCTTGAACTAGTTTGGTAGAATAAAATGTAAGAGTTCTCTCAGTACAATATAATCAGATAAGAATGATGAAGAAAGAAAGAAAGAAAGAAAGAGAATCAAAGAGAATTGTTGAAAGAGAATGAGATCAGAACAAGAATGGAAATAGCTCACCTAGTTTGGTAGAATATAAAGATGTAAGAGTTCTCTACCAAACTAGGAAGGGGGAGGATAATTGTAGTTTAAGTAGTCAGATGATAGTTTTTGATTGTCCTTGTGAAACCTGTATGTGGTGAGGTTTCACAATGAAGCTTATCCTTCCACAAAATCTCTGTACGGCTCATCTTCATTGCAATAGAATATGCATTCTGTTTTCATATTCTGTCCCACAACTTGACCACATTTTAAATAGCACTTAGAGCTTGAAGATTGGACAGAAATAAACTCATCAGTTATCCTTCTCCTGATCCCCAAGTTCTCTATGACATACAAACCTCTGTAGCATGTACCCATCTCTGACATGCAAGCTAGCAGTCTTAGCCACTTTTTGGGCCCTCAGAACTTTGTTTTTCTCCTGAGTCTTTCAGCCTCAAGAGTTGTTTTGTGTCTCTTTTTGCCCTTTCCTCACTGGCTCCTTGTAAGAATTCATCACTGGGGTAATGGATTGAGGGAGTTAAGGTGTAGTTGATGATTGAAAAGAAAGTGAGAGAGTGAGAGGAAGTTGAGTGAGGGGGAGAGGGAAAGGGAAATAGGAGCCAGGAAGAAGTAAGGTGATGATGAGGTAAATGAGAAAAAGAAGAAGTCATAAGGAAAGAAGATGGATAGTGATTGAGATAAAATAGGAGAAGGAGAAGCAAGAGTGATTGAGGAGAGGATGAGTGATGAGTGAGAATTTAAGAATAAGAATAAGGCTTATGATAAATCAGATTGACCAGTATTCCTAGCAGTGGTGGGCCAGTTACACTAACTGTGGTGTCAGTCTAGCATAAGACAGTGGAGTTCTGCCGCACCTCCACTAACACTATGCCTGCAGGCCCTGCAAAAAGTGCCCATCATGCTGTGCTAACACTCTGGTTAGCAGAATTTTGGCCCAGTAGTGGTCCATAGCACAGCATAGTGTATCAAAAACCCACCCACTTTTTGCTAACACTACATGATTTCTGGGTGCAAAAAAACTGCTAGGCTAACATGTTTTGTGCAAAAAGCATAGTGTAGCAGCACATCATTTTTCCCAGGGAATTATGAGATTGGGTTTTTGAAAGGTCTCTTTGAAGGGGATGAGGAATACTTTCAGATACGGTTGGCTGCACGGGGAATCATGTCTTGATCATCAGTTCTCATCCACAGCCAGGCCAGAGGTCACCAAGGATGGATGCGGGACACCCCCCCCCCCCACCCCAGGTCAGCACCAACATGCAGGGTTATCAGCCCTGTAAGCTCATTAAGGCTTCTCAACACCTTCTCGGCCCTCAAAATTCAACAGTTTTGACTCCAAAAACTCTACCACCATCATTCACCTGCTCGAAAAAAAAAAACATTACAAGGTGGATTTTCATACATGTAACGTCAAACTTCAGATTCCATTCAAAGTGCAACACTGGCCG